GTGACTTTTCTAAGTGAACATATCTTCGTTGTCTTGAGAACATCTGTTCCTGTGTGGGAGATGCGGTGCCTCCTTGGGAAAGCACACTGCCCACCTGATATAATGGTGGCATTTGCTGCTGAGGCCTATGGGAGCAGGTCCTTTGGTAAGGAGAGCAGACATCAAACCAGTGAATGCTGTTAACTTTCCAAGTTTTATTTTTTCACAGATGAGCTAAAGAAGGCTCACGTGGAACTCCACTTTATAAAACAGCACAGTCAAGTGACCACAACCAGCCCCTCACCAGTCAACAGTCACGTTGATATCATGGACCCAAGCACTTCTGAACTTTGAGGCATCTTCTCCAAAACCCATAACCCTAGTCTGGCCATGAGAAAACATCAGACCGACCCAGTTGAGGGACTCTCTACAAAATAGCTGATCAGTGTCCTTCAAAATTGTCAAGGTCATGAAAGGCAAAGAAAGATGGAGAAAGTCTTACAGAGGAGGGAGATGGAGGAGACATGGCTAAATGCCATGTGGGACCTGGGCTCGTGTCCTGGAACCCAAAGGACATCGGTGGGAAGCTGGGGTAGTCCGAATCAAGTCTCTAGCTTGGTAGAATCGTGCCGGTGTTCATTGCTTAGTTTTGGTAACAGTACCACAGTTATTCTAGATGCTAACATTGGGTACATCTGGGTGAAGGGTATGCAGGAACTCTCTATGTAACTTTTCTGTAAGTCTAAAATTCTTTCCAGATTAAAAGTTGTTTTTTTTTTTAAAGATAGCAACCACAGAGCAGGGCTGGTTGAAGCTGGGAGTGGGGTGCAGAGGAGAGAGGAGAAAGAAGCCCAAAGCCTGTGCCTTGCCTGACTGACACCCCTCTTGCTTCCTTCATCCCCCCTACTCTTCACCTCTCACAGCCACATGGCGTATTTGGAAAACCATTTTGCTGATCACTTCATTATTATATTTGACTTCTGCAACAACCTGGTGAAGTGGGCTAGGCTCCCATTTTATAGATAAGGAAACTTCAGAGAAATGAAGTAAATTGCCAAGGTCACTGGGCTGGGAGGTGAAAGAGGCCGTTTTCAAACCCTGTCTGGCTCCCAAGTGGGGTGTGCCCGTCCTTTGGGAAGATGTGAGCATCGTCTCAATGGGCATCACCTGCTGCTCCTGCCGCCCATCCTCAAACCCTGGCGTCCTCCTTCAGAAAACTGGTCCGGTGTCCCGAGTCTCCGGGCCCCTTCCTGATATCTGGGTTCTGGGATCCAGTAACCGATGTGCTCGTTTGGCCTTTGCAGCCTTCAGCCTATCCCAGCCGCAGCCTGCGCTGCAGTCCAGAGGGCAGCAGCGGGAGAGAAGGGGGAGGCCAGAACAAGGTCAAGTCCATGGCAAGTCAGCTGCTGGCCAAGTTCGAGGAGAGCTCTCGGAACTCCTCGCTCCTGAGGCAGGTAAGTCCCATCAGATGCTCACTGGACCTGCCTTCCTGGTGACCAGCACCTGCTGAGAAGCCAGCAGAAATGTGCAGGCTAATGGTGGATTTCAGGTATGCCAGCCAGGCCTGGCTCAGGGGAGACGGGGGCTCCTTCTAGATCAGGAGTCAGCAGACTTTCCAGGAAGGACCAGGTAGCACATTTAGGCCATAGCAAAGATTTGAGGCTTCGGGAGCCTCTCGTCTCTCTGCAACTGCTCATCTCTGCTGTTGAAGCGTGAAAGCAACCATAGGCAGGACCTAAGCAAATTACGGAGCTGTGTGCCAACAAAACTTAAATTACCAAAACAGGCAGCAGGCCAGCTTCGGCCCGAGGACCATAGTTTGCTGATGCCTGTTCTGCCCTGGAGAAGAAATCCAGAATTTGGTTTTGCCTTGTAACCATGACTTGATTTGTAGCGATCTTTGAGATGGTACAGCGTAACGGAGTTTTAGAGACCCTGGCTGCCTGGGAGTCTAAGTCCAGAGTGAGAAAACCTGTGCACTCCAGGGAAAACTAAGTCACGGCCCTCAGCTCCATGGGAACCAACCCCCCAAGTGTTCTGTGACGTCCCCTCCTCCGCATTCCCTTGGGTCAGGCCGGCAAGGCTGTGGTGTCCAACCAGGGTGTCTGGGAGGCTGAAGGAGGCAGAGTGCCGTGGGGCAGGCTTCACACCAACCTGATTGCTTTCAGACTTGATTCCACGGTCTGTGCTGCGGGGTTCATTTTGCTCCCCTGAATTCCTTTGGGATGCCACCATCAAATTACAAAAGCTTGGGACAAGGGGTTTGGTTCTTTTTTGGAGAACACCTGTCATATAACAGAATTAGGCTCCTCTCAGGAGGAGGGCAGACTCTTGGTTAATTAGCATTATAGGCAATCATAAATGTCTACCTGGTCTTGATGGTGGACCTGCCCCTCCCAGACAAACTGGCCTTCCCCAGGAAGCCAAGTTTTGTAAGAAGAGTTTCTGAGACTTGTGATTTTTTTCTCAATTGCCCCTTCTGGAGGCTGGGCCCCTAGAAGTCCCCAAGTGTCAGTTGAGGGTTCTCTTCCATCAGAAGGAATGTAGCATCCTGTCATCTTGTGTGCAGGAGACTTTGCCATTTCCAGGAGGACTCCAGGCCTGGCCACCTGGGCTTGGCATAGGCTCTCGTGGTGCAGGCCCAGTGCCCCAGGTCTGAGCCAAAAGCAAGGCCTCGCTGGGATTTACACGTTGTCCAGGAGAAGGGGACTCCAGGACTTTGTGTTCACATGGACAGAGAACCAGGGTTCAAGTTTCCCCTCTGGGCCTGGCTTGTGGGAGCTCAGCCCAGTGCTGTCTCTGCACTTGCAAACTCTCTCTGCCTGCCTCTCTTCCTCTCTTCCCTCCAAGTGTCTGACTCACCTTTTCCTTCATGTTTCCTGTGGCTGCTCTTTCGGACTCACCTTCCTCCTCCCAGGAATGCCGTGTCTCAGGGATAGGTAAGCCTGTCCTGCGTACTTCCTCTGACCCACCTGTTAACTCTCGCTGCCCTAGGCTGGAGGAGCCCACACCCAACCCGTCACCTCCTCTGAAAAGGCAGGTAGGGCTCCTTCCAGTGGACCCTGTCTTGGTGAAGTCAGAGGGGACTTTGATCCAGAGGGGTGGGGTCAGTGGCTCTCTGTGCGCCCCAGGTAGGGCTGACTGTAACTTCTCTGGGAAGGCAGACACAACTTGAGGTGACCATCCTTATAGGTAAGAATAACCAGGTCTGCAGCCTCTTGAAATATGTGCCAGTCCAGAGCATCATCTGCCCAACTGCTATGCTCTTGATGTTTTATTTGCTTGGGGTAAAACAGGCTGCGCCACATGGGGCATTTGGGGGACACTCCGGGACACTTAGCTTTATTTGCAGGCCACTTGGATAGGAGATTTCTAAATAGATGGACAAGTGGCAGGATGGTGACATGAGCTCAGGTGGCCAGTTGGCTGCACATCACGGAAGGGGTAAGGCCGGGGTGCGGTGAAGCCGTCCCCTGGCACCCAAGCAGACGAGGACCCGCCCAGGGCCGGGGAGGCAGCCATGGCCCGAGGCTTTGTCCAGCGAGCATCTCTGGGTTTGGAATTTGAACAGAATCACTATTCTTGAGCACGCTGTTCAGAAACGTCTAGCCAGCAGTAGGAGGTTGGTGTTGCTCCCGTGGTGGAGGTTGAGCGAAGTCAGTGAGGATATATTGTGGTGATGTTAGGCCTGTGTGCATAGAAGAATCACCTAGAGAGCTTTTTAAAAAATACCACCATCTGGTACCCACCCCCAGACCAGTTAAACCAGACTGTCGGGGGTTGGGCCCAAACTCGGGTGACTTTTTCTAAATGCCCTAGGTGACTTCCCTATGCAGCTAGGACCGAGACCGGGCTTGTGCAGGTTTTGACCCGGTGGGCCGGTGAGGCCCGAGACCGTGTATTGCTAATGAGGATGGCAGGTGGCGGAAAGTCAGGACCTGAGGTTAGCGGGGGGAGTCTGACTCGCAGTGGCCCCTGCTGTGCCCTTGGTCCCTGGTCCTTGTGGGGAGGGCTCACAGCAGGGGGTGTATGAATGGGCCACAGTCGGGAAGGAAGCTTGACTTTCCTTCTCTCCCAGTTCCCCTCGGTGGTTGTGACGGGGCACGTGCTCCGAGAGCTAAAGCAAGTGTCTGCTGGTGACGGGTGCCCGAGCAGGCCCTGGAGAGCCAGAGCCAAGTCTGACCTGCAGCTGGGCAGGCCCGAAGCCCCTGCTGGCCTGCCTCCCGCCTGCCAGGGAGCTCTGGCCCTTTCCGGGGTGCTGCGGCGGCTGCAGCAAGTGGAGGACAAGATTCTGCAGGTGAAAGCCCGCTCATGGCCCTGCCTCTGCCTGTGTTTGGGGTGCCTTCCTTCCCTCCTTCCCTCCTCTGCCCCGGGTGGGTTCCTGTCTCCTGTCCCATCCTGCCACTCTCCTGGAGGCAACCACCATCGGCTCTGTCACTGTCACTTTCTCTCTTTCTCCTCTCTCGCCCTACCAGCAGAAGAGGGCTGAGAACTTGGCCAACAGGGAATTTCACAAAAAGAACATTAAGGAGAAGGCGGCTCACCTTGCCTCCATGTTTGGACACGGGGATTTTCCGCAGGTAAACACGGGGCTTTCAGAGCCGCCAGGAACCCAGATGTTGCACATCTAGCAAAGTGGCCACGAATCCATCTCCAGAGCTTCATTTCTTCCTCCCTCCTCCTTTTCTGGCAGGAGGGGCTGTTGACTTTCCAAGCCACTAACGGATTTGGGCTGGCATCTAAAAAAGACTCAAATGAGCAGATGCAAAAATACTAGATCAGTTATGACAAAGGGAAGACCAAGGTAGTAATATAGGCTGAGGTCCAAGGAAAATGTGACGAGCAGAAATGTATGCTGTTAGAGCCTAGACAGGCCTGAGTAGGCGCTGAGCTCCCCAAGAGGCAACACAAAGAAGGAAAGCTGGTCACTTGCAGGCATCACATCCCAGTGTCTTAAAGTGAAAGCATGGTGTTTTGAGGCACAATGGAGGAATCTCCCCGTGGCCCTGGCCGGGGAAATCCTGAATGACGAGCCAGCCATAGGCTCTAACCCATGCTCTGCTTTTCCAAACGGCAGCATCAGCCAAACAGAGTGGCTTTGCCTCAGAACGGCAGGGACTGACCTAGAAACTGGCTGAAACGAAGAGGGGGTGCATGGCAAGGAGAGGGAAGCGTTGATAATGAGGTGCCACAGTCCGTGTGTGTGTGCAAGGGGCACCCTTGCTTGCAGACAGCCTGGGCTCTAGAACATAACCGCTCTGCTGCTTTCACTCGGTCTCCTCCAGACCTGTGTCCTATGCTATTTGGGCTGAGGCATTGTCATGGGGAGGAAGTTTTGCAGCGAGTTCATTTCTGGGTCCCAGGGGGCTGTAGAGGCGCCTGTCATGGCCGTCTGCCCCCCAGTGGCTGGGGGTTCTCCTTCCCTCAGTTTGCAGCTTCTACTTCACACCAAGCTCCAGAGCGAGAGCATCAGAAGTTAGCTCTGGTATCTGCGGCAGACGTACGCGGCAACAGGGCGGGTCTGCCCCAGCTACTTCGCTGTGATGAGGGAGCTGGGATGGCTGTGGCAGAATGCAGTGTATCCGGGAGCCAGACGGTCCTGCTGGGCTCCCAAGACAGAGGCTTCTCTTCTGTCCTGAGACACAGCCCTGGATTTCTTTTCCCCTCCCTGAACGCGTAGGCATGGGGCTACACGGTGGAGGTGAGCCTCGCTGTGCACTTGCCAGGGACCATCACCGTTTGCTCTGTTTCTGTTCTGTGCAGAATAAACTACTTTCTAAAGGCCTGTCTATCGCTCACCCTCCGGCTTCTCCCTCCTGCCTTCCGTCTCCCGATCCCGCTGCTGCTTCCTCTCCATCGACTGCTGACTCTGTTTCTCCTGCCAGAAAGGTAGTCGTCCTGAACAATTAGCTGCCCCACTCCCTGCACGTTCTGAGATGTTCTCATGCTCTGCTTGACCTGCGCGGACAAGCATCTGGAGCTTGCTTTGGCTGCGATGAAAACGTGTAAGAGCCTTTCCAGCAGTCCTGGATTCGGTTGTTTCTGTGTTGGAGCAAGCAACCAGGCGGACCAGGAGACACAAAAACGTGTCCAACCATGCTGCTCATCCAGCAAGCATTAATTGGGCACCCACCGTACGCCACCATGTGCCAGATGCTGACACAAGGAGGATGGTGGCACAGCTCTCTCACTCCAGTTTTGAGGACAAACAGCACATTAGCCTCGAAATGGAGGAGATTGCCAGTCTTTGGCTGTTTTTGACCTAACCAAATGGCAGTCTCACATGGCGAACCTACCACTTTTCAGTACTGCCCCTTAATTCTGAGGGACATAAAGGGCAAGTTTATAGGAACCCAGAGGGGAGAAACCTGAAAAGGATTCACACAGGAGGCAATATGGGAACCAAGTGTCAAGGGTTCCATGGAAGGGGAAGGGCAATGGTTCTAGAAAGGTCTAGTGTGTGCAAAGGAAGGCAGACAAGGTTTGTGTGAACGGAAAGAAGATTCTGGTGCAGCTTGCTTTGGGAATAAAAGTATTTATGGGAGTGTGGAGGGTGAGGGTGGAAGTCAGCCCGCTCTTCATGTTAAGGAGTTTCATTCTGCTCTTTTAGAGCTGCTGAAGCCACGGCTCTGTGTTCTAGAAGGATGACTCAGGTAGCAGTGCAGAGGTTGGCTCAGAGGAGAGGAGGAGATGGGAAGCTAACTTTAAGTAGATCATGAGATGCAACCCTTGAATAATTTTTAAATTGGGGTTCTGGAGCACCTTTCATGGTTTCCATTGTCCTCCTGTTACCAAGTATGCTGAGAACACTAGCAGGCTACGGTGGGAGAGGGGTGGTCTCCAGGAAGCTTGGCCCCTGGACTGGATGAGCCTGAAAATGGATGTGAAGCCCACTTCTTCAGCTGTTGCTCGGGAAATGGGTTTTGGTCTCTTCCTCGTAAACCGTGCTCCTCCAAACACACCTGGTCTGTCTCGCTTCCCCAGGCTTACCTTGGCGCAGAAAGCTAGATGTCCCCCATCACAGTTACTGCTCATTTGCTTCCATGCTGTTAGGCTGAAGCACAAACCAGCAATCTGCTGTTGCCTTAGTGGAAAATTAGGAGCTGCCTCTTGATTTGTAGTTGGGACCCCCACTGCTGTGGGGAGAATGGTGCAGGTAGGGTCCCTAAGAAAGGAGCGAGGAATACTATCAGCCCCACCCCCTCCACCATCCCCAGTAAGGGTATGAAGCATCCCCAGAAGGGCAGCAGGAGGTGGCCCAGAGAAGCACAGACACCTCTGATCTGCAGCTCCACTGAAGACAGCCATGGCCAGGATGCCCGGCATCTTGTTCCAGGTCAGCCACTGGTCAGCCATTTGGCCTCATGCCTCCTGACCTGTCTGGGCTTCTGTATTTTCTCATCAGTAAGAGAGTGATCCCTGGCTCATGTGATAGCATCTGTCTGGCTGGGGACTGGCATTTTTGTTGTCATCCTCACCAAAGCTCCGGAGCAGCCCTTTTGCCCAGCTCGGGAGAGGAGCCTCCCGTGGGGGGTGCTTTCTGTTATGGCGCCCTTGATGGGACGAGAAGGGGCGAGGGTGCCTGGGCACAGACAGGCAGCGGCTGGTGCTCCTGGCTGGCCAGCTGGGCCCACACCGTGCTTCTCTCCCACCCAGCCCCTGGCTGGCCCTGGTCCGCATCCCCTCTAGCCTCTGCCTTTCTTTCATGCTCAGGGTGGCCTGGCTTGAGGGCAGAGCTGGGGCAAGGAAAGCTCCCACACTTCCCAAGGTCCCTGACTTGGTTTCCAGTAGGCGTTCGAGCTCTAGGTGCTGGCAAGAGGCAATCTGCCCAGGCACGTGCGGGCCACCAGGGTCTGACAGAGACACTTTCTGTCAGGAGGCATTGCTCCATCATCATCATGCTCCACTGAGGCCCTCGGCTTCTCCTCCATTGGGCTCCTCGAGCAGGTTTTAACCAACATCACTCATGGAGCAAGCCAGCAAGTGAACATTCAGCCATTCAACAAACATTTATTAGACCACAGACGGCTCAGTGTCAGGCACTTTGGGCTCTTGGGATGTGCATCAGTCATCTGGAGTTACATTTCTCCCCTGATGAGGCTTGTATTCTAGTGGGTAGAAATGAACAATCAACAATAATGTAATATATAGGTAAATTATATAATACATCAAAAGACAAGGTAGTACTTCTTATGGAAAAATTATAGCAGGGAGCTAGCATGCTGGGGAAGGGTAGCAATGTTAAATGCAGTTGTGGTGGGGGCTGTTGTTCCTGGGAAAGAGAACTGAGCAGGAGTAGAGCCACAGATAGGAACACAAAGGTGCAAGGAGGAGACCAGTCCCCAGGCCTCCTGCCCCCCGGCCCAGTGTTCTCTGTACCACAGCGGCCAGGCATGAATGGGAGGCCTTGTCAGACGCACCAGCGTGGAGGCTATAGCCACGTAGAGCTCCACACCCAGGTGCATCGAGAGCTGCAAATGGGGTGGGCTTTGGGCTGACCAATCCCAGGCCCTCTGCTCCTCCCATAGCTTTACTCTTTATTCTACCAGGTTGTGGTAGAACAGTCACCCCCTGTTTTTCTTATCCCATCTCCCTAGCCAGCCTTGGCCATCAGGTGATGGTGTAATTGGGCCGATGAATTACAGGCTGATGCGCCTCTCCCAGTAGGGCCGGGAATGAGTGGAGAGCTCTTAGGGCCACCCTGGGACAGTGGGCAAGTCACTGACCCTCTTTGTGCCTTAGTCTCTCTGTTTGTAAAAAGGACCTAGTCTGGACTCAACATTCCCAGCACCCTCCAGATCTCAGTGTGAAGCCGTTGTAGACAGGACTGAGCGGTGAGTTTCCAGGGACAAGCAGTCTCCGAGAGGACATTGCCAGTGGCCCTGCAGTCTCCCCATCCCCCACCACCAATTTCCCACCCTCTCCTGGACCCCACCCCACCACCCATTCAACACTGGGTTTTGTGCATGCGGAATCTGGCAGGGTGACAGCCTCCTCCAAAGAGAGAATTGGCTGCCACCTAAAGTCTGTGACAACCTGGTGACAAACTTTATTCAGTCCTAAAGGAGCTCCGGGAGCCTCTCGTCTGAAGAGAGCCTGAGGCTGCAGTGCTTCTGCCCAGCCAATGATGGGCTGCTCTCATTGCCCAGGGGCCCAAGCTCGCCTCCATTCAGGGAAGCCCGGGCAAGGAAAATGCACTTGGAAACTGATGTTTAGTCCTTTGCAACCTTGAGGCAGGCAGCATGTCTCTATTCCTGCCCTAGAGCCCCACACTCCAATTCTGAGGATCCAGAGATAATCCCCTCCATGTGGGAACAGACCTAGCCAAATCCAGATGAGGACCACGGGTTACAGGGGTGCGGACTTGGGTCACCAGTCCTGAGAGATGTGGCCAGGGCTGTGCCTTCAAATGGCCCTCTCAGCTAGACATTTGCTTTAAGATTCAGTGATACTGCTGAGAGTTTGGCCTGAATGGTCACAGGGCGTATTGAGGTCCTCTCATTTAGGATCTAGATCCTTACCAGAGTCTTGTCTTTCAAAGACCCAACTAGGGATCATGTCCACTTGTATGTCTCCAGCACTCATTCGACTCATCCATCCCATCAAAGCAGCCCTTCTGTAGTGTTACTGATCCCCTATCACCCATCAGTTAACTCCTTTTTTCAGTCGGGGAGGCCATTGCCAATTTGGCAGCTGGCACGGCTGCTAGCCATTTGCCAAGCCTGGCAAGCTCTTGCAGGAACAAGATGGTGGCTGAGTATTTGTGCCAAGGAGCAAGAGGGAGCTGTGGTTTAAGTCTTCCTGGGTCAGAAGAACAATGTGCATTACAAAAGGAGCTTTCTCTACCTGGGGGTGTTTGTTTTAAAACTGGATTTGCAGGGTTTACTGGAGAGATTTGCACATTGGAGCAAAGCTAGGGGAGTCTTGGCTGGGCACTATGTCTTTCATTTGATACAAGGATAGATCTCAAGGCTGCCCCCAACCTCCTTGTTCTTCTCTTTGTTCCTGGGATAGGACTGCCTTTGGAGGTGTCCTGTGTGCATTCCAGCTTGGGGAATTTTAATTTGCAGAGTGCTGGTGTGTTTCAGGGAAGCAGGGTGCTGTAGGGAGAAGAACATGGGCTTAGAGTCAGAGCACCGACCTTGGAGGAGTTGGTGGACTTCTCAGCACCTCAGTCCCCCAATTATAGACCGGAGGTGACAGCAGCTAGCCCTGATAGTGCAAGGAATGATGCAGTGAGCTGGCAAAGGTAGAATGCCTAAACTGTCCAGTAAACGTGCTCTTTCCCCAGCAGAGGAGAATTCCAGAAGAAATCTCACTTACCTGAAATGCATGTTGATTCCTCTCTTTCTAAAGGCAAAGAAGTCACCTTCAGGTTTCCATTTCCATCCCAGCCACTTAAGAACAGTGCGGCCTCAGGTGAGTTAGAGCCTCTCTGAACCTCAGCTGCTCCATCTGCGAAGGGGGATTATGAGACCCACCTCGCAAGGCTCTGAGGGCCACACACATATGATCACAGCACAGTGCCTGGCGCCAGGGGATGCAGGTGCAGACGTGGGTGCCCACAGGGAGGTCATAGCCCCAAAGGCCTGCCTGAGTCTCAACTCTGAGCATGTCATTTCCGGACCGCCTCAAACAAGGTGGTTTCAGTTCTTGCCCTCTCTTGCTCTTGCCCTGAGCATACCACTGGGCACCCAGGCGCATAGCCTGTCCTGTGATGTTTGTCCTGCAGGGACTCCTCAGAGGGGAATGTTGGCCCCAGTGGGCGCAGGAGACCTCCTCTGGCCCTGCCTGTCGAAACCTCCCCTTCCTGTGAGTCCTCAACTCTGAGGTCCTAGAACCTCTGCCTTACCCTGCCTGAGCCGTGTGGGCTTCATGATGCTCACAGCAGGCCAGGTGGCCTCAGGTGGCCCAGCTCCATGGTGAAGCACAGCCTGGACACCTGGTATTCTTGGCTGAGTTCCAGGCCCGAGGGGGGAAGTTAGCGTTGTTTGGACACAGAGGGGTCCAGGAAACTGCTTCCTTCTTCATTCAGAGCAAATGCCCTGTGCCAGGAGTGTAGAAATGAGTAAGACACAGGCATACATCAGGGAGTGCAGACCAGAAGGGAGCTGGTGAGAAAGGCTCCAACATGCAGCTGCGGACTGACGGTCACGTTCTGAGCTCAGAGTGCCAGGATTGCCTCAGACGTGCCTCCTTGTGGGGGTCCAGCCATCTTCTGCAGCCTCTGGGGATGATGCTGGGGATGACAGTTATGCCACCATGTTTGAATCTGGGTTGACTCATCGAAGAAAAGCCAGTGTGCTCATTCTGGGTAGGCCATACCATTCTTACTCGTGCAGAGGAGGGAACCCAAGTGACCTAGAGTTTCCCAGAGTGAAGACCATCTAAGAAAGGAAAAAAGAAGTTCTAGAACATGGAAATGTAAAGCCATGCCAATGGCGGTATTTTGGACTCATTAACTCCCTGCAGAGTGCTTCTTGGGGGCCCCACACCATGTGAGGTGTGGCCTGGATTCTATGGTGACCCTTTTTTGTAGCCCTGCAAGGGTGGCCGTGGTGTCCCCATTTTATAGATGAGGAAGCTGAGACTCACAGAAGGGAAATGGTGTATGTGAGATTAATCTAATGTAATGTGAAATAATGGCGTCCAGAAATGCCCAGCCATTCCAGCTTGTTCTAATTAACTGAAAAATAATTAGAATTCAAAAGGGGGAAGAGGGTAGTAAGAAACCTTCTTCAAAATTATAAGAATATTGAAAGATACATAAAGGTTTGCAAAAGCAGCCCCATGGCCCTCCAGAATAGCCAATTCTTTAAAAACTAGTGACTGGGATGTGATCATTTTTGGCCAAATCTCTTTGTTTGCACAAACTCTCCCAAATTATAAATTCTGCTCTTGACCAGCCCTCTGCAGGAACCTATGGCCTACCTTTTAGTACATGAATCTCCTTGCTGAGAAACCCTGGCTCTCACTCTGAGGTCAGTACCAGAATGAGTTTTCTGGCAGTTTCTCTACAAATTGATCTCTGTCTTAGGATCCTGGGAGCTTGGTTGGCTAGAGCAATGCTGCTCAAAGTGTGGTCCATGGGCAGGTACTGGTCTGTGACCCAATGAGCACGGCGAATGAGAGTGAGCATTAGACACTTACAGAGCAATCTGATATTGCCACACATCCAACTGTGTGGTCCTATTTCCAGTAACTCACATTTATTATGTCCAGAAATACTAGGTCATAAGAGACTAGAGATTTTTTTTTTTTTTTTTTTTAAGCAAAACCTGGTCATTTACCACTGGTAGTTTGAGGAGCAGTGAGCTAGCATTTGTCTGGCTGGTCATGTCCTCACTCTGCTGGAGCCAATAAGGCATCCTGTTGACAAGAAACAAAACAGAACCTGTAATCCTCAGGGCAATGTCTGCCTCCACACTGGTCTTTGGGGTGGGCTTCAGGGGGGTCCCCCCTCACCTCTTGAGATGAGTTCTCCATCACCGGGTCTCCTTGTGACCTCTCCAGGAAGTCCAGTCCACCTCTTGGTTGGCCAATGGTGACTCAGGTTGGAAAGGGCGTGTGGGAGACCCAGTGCTGCTCTCCTTAAGGGTGCTTTCGTTATTCTTAGGAAAGCCCAGTGGCAATGGGCTGGGGCTGTGACTGCAACTCGGAGAAGGGAGTCTTTCAGGCCCATTCTGAAAGACCAGGTCTTGTCTTCAACCTAGATCACATGGCCAGGTGACCTGACAGTGCCCTGTCCTGGCCGGGCAACTGAGCAGGCCCATGAGCGCACGGATGGGTCTGGTGATGCCTGCCAGCTACCTTCTAGCCCTCGGCATGCTTCTGTAATTGCTCCTTAAGTCAGGATTGCACAAAAGCTCAGCAGCACAAAGTGCTTATTAGCTAAGTGGTTAATAAGGTCCCATTAAGGACTTGTATTTAAAGCCTCGGAAAGTATAGTCTCGATTCCGGCTAACTCAAGGAGGCGAAAATTGCGCGTGGGCGCCATGGCATCACCATGGAGTTTTTCTGGGAGGGCCCCTCAGAGCCAGTTCACACATGGGGCCACTGGAGACAACCACACAAGGGCAGTGTGGGCAGGGAGGTAAATCTGACCCCCGTTTTCTCTCCCCCTTTGATTTGATATAAACCCAAGAAGTACTTGGTATTCTTCAACCCCTTCCTGAGGGGCTTGTGTGTGTGTGTGGGCAGGGGTAGGGGGGCGGTTCCCGGTGGGGAATGGAACATCAGGCAAACAATAGCTTGTTGTTCTAAGCCAGTGTACCTGAACCTTTCTTAGAAACAGGAGCCAAGGTTCTGGGCATTTATTTGTGACATCCTGTAAATGGCAGAGAGTGTGCTTGGAAGCAGAAGGCTGATCTCTCCTAGGCTGGGCCAGCTCGGGAGGTGAAGTGGGTCTGGGGTAACTGGCGGGGCCGCTGCTCCTGGGAAGGGACAGGCTTTGTAAAGTCTGAGGGGCTCCCATCTGTCTGAGCCGTGGGCTCAGACCCCCTACTTGGCAGGCCCATGGCCTGCTATAGTCCCAAGAGCCCCGCACGTGGTCCAGGTGGACTGTCGCAAAGTGGCTGTGAGTGTGAGGGCTTTCTTAATGAGAAAGGGAGCAGAAGCCTCCTGGGTCTTGTCGTTCTCCCCAGCCTGCCTGGCAGCCTTGCAGCAGCTGTGCCCTTGCTGGAATCCAGGAGGCTGGTCTCAGCTTCTGAGGCTGGGCTCTGCTGCCGGGAGCTGGGGGACCGCTGCCATTCGCTTTGCCGTCCCCCGAACTTCCTGCTTTATAGCTGAGACTTTCATAGCAGATTCGATGTGGCCTCCCAGGAGCAGTCCTGGGTTTAGATTGAGGGTGTTCCTTCAACCACACCCGTCCACCTATATGCTACTGGCTGCACCTCCCAGAAGCTAGATTCTGAGGCTGGGCAGGGTCTGAAGCCTGCCTTCTTCCTGGATCCTGGGACTGGAAGCTGCTTACAGAATCCCTTCCTGTGGTATGTGCCTCCCTGAAGAGGAGCCTGCAGTGTTCCCAGGGTGGCTTTCATAGCTGGTGGGAAAGGGGAAGCAAGGTGGGATTTGTGGGGCATCTGGGTGATTGTGCCATGTCTGCATGGGCTGTCAGCTTCACCCCTGCCCCAGCTCCCAGACACATGGATGGGGAACCGGGCACTCACAGGTCGGGGGTGGCCGTCATGCCCTCCAGAGCATAGGCACCTGTGACCTGCCAGGCAGTGGTGCCCAGGGCCCCCACAGAGCTGACTTGCCAGCATCAGCCTGGGGCCTCTGGGCACTGCAGCCTGGAGCACGTGGTGGAGTACCATCCTGTTGCCTCCTCTCTCCCGTTCTAGTCACTTCTTCTGTAGGTCTGGGGGGCACTCAGGTCAGACACCACCATTGCACCCCAGGGGTGTGGAGACTGCAAGGCAGGCTGGGACCGGCTGCACTCAGGAGACGGGGAGGGAGGAGTCCAGCTCATCCTGGCCTAGCCCCGCCAAGCGCCAGGCACTTGAACACCCGTTCTCTCCCTCAGTTCTTACCACACAACCATGCGTCAGGCACGATTTCCCCCATCCTACTAAACAAGGAAACTGAGCTCAGAAGTTGAGAGTTTTGTGCCCAGTCTCAGAACTAGTTCATCGTGGAGCTGGGGTCCAACCCTTCATCCCAGTCCTGGGGGGAGAGGGGGGCGGGTACCTCTCACGAAGCAGATGAAGCAGCATCTCACAGCCCTCCAAAGAGGAGGGATCTCTATGGGAGGGTGGCTGCCGTTCAGCTGTCTGTCTGTGAGGTCCTGGTTCCTTAGGGTGTGAGGGCATCTGGCTGGGGCTCAGGAGACCTGAGAAGAGCTCTGAATCTCGCACATACTGGCTAAGTGGCCTGGGATAGCTCCCTTCCTGTCTCCGGGATTCATTTACCCCATCTGTGAACCAGGAAACTTGACGAATCCTGAAGGCCTTACATGCCAACGGAGCTAGTTCTACAAGTCACCTGGCTCACCCCAGGGCCCAGGGTTCCATTTCTGTCCTTCTCTCCATCTCCAGAGTGCCCGCTGCCCGCTCCAGGCTGGTTTTGCCTCTCCTGGGACCTCGGGCGCTGTTTGCATGTGGGTGTGGAGCCCTGTCCCACATCCAGCCTGTTTGCGCTTTCCTTCTCAGTGCTAACTGGCCTCTACCTTTGTCTCTGTCTCCTCTACCTCTGCTCTTGGGTAGCTGACGGTAGGGAAAGTATCCAGCGGAATAGGGGCTGCAGCTGAAGTCCTGGTCAATCTGTACATGAATGATCACAGACCTAAGACCCAGGCCACCTCTCCAGACCTGGTAAGGACGCACACCCCTCAGCCTTCACCTGCAGACACCGACTCTGGTCTCCCAGGGAGGATGGCCTGGTCCGTGCGAGGCCCCCTTCTCGTGGACAGGAGGCGTGACAGTGGGGTAGACCGGTGCCGAGGTTAGAGGGAGGGCTGCGTTTTCTGACCTACAAACCTCACTCGGCTCCCCTATAGGTCATTTCACAAGGCAGAGCCTGTCCCCTGCTGTCTGGAGAGCTCAGTGAAGAGGCCAGGCAAGCCACCCCTTACCCTCAGCATTTGGCGTCCAGCCCAAGTAGCCCTTTTGCACTGGACTGAGAATCCAGTAACAGAGAGATACTCTTCCTTCTGAATTCTCCCTTCTCCAAACAAGGCTGCCTGCTGCGGTCACCAGCCATTTGACTGGACAATTCTTTTGCTTTCCTTTTGACATGTCCCTGCAGCCCCAGAATCCCCCAAGCGCACCGCTGCCTGCCCTCGTCCTCCTCCCTTGCATTTAGGAATTTGCCTGGCAGCCCCGGGGGCTGGAGGACACAGCCTGTCCCTTCCCTGCAGTTCTCTTCAACAGTTTGGCTGCCACAGGCTTTCCTTGCCTGGCCTAAGTCACTGCAGGGGGACAGGGGCGTGGAAAACATTCTTTCGGGGACCTCGCCCTAGAGGTGGGCAGTTGCCCGGAGGGGGCCAGCGTCGCTGGGTAGGCATGTTGGTGAGGGATGCCCACTCTGTCAGACAGACAGACGCCACTCCCGCCCCCAAACCGGAGCGGCCGGCCTCAGGAGGAGCCCCTCCTGGGCCTCCCCCGTCGCCAGCTGGCCTGCCTGGGAGCCCGTGTGGGGTGGGGTCATTGGGGTCTGTGCTGGGGGCGTATTGTCCCACCGCTTGGTCTCGGCTGCCGTGCCTGCGGTGCCACGGGCAGCAGACAGGAGCCCATGAGGTCCCCATGATCGAGGTCAGGATTTTCCAAGAGTCTCGGCCTCGCACCGCGAGACGCGGGGTCAGCCCTGACGCGCGGCGCTTCTCTCCCGCCGCCCTGTGCCCCCCAGGAATCCATGCGGAAGGTGCTCCCCCTGAGTCTGGGCGGCAGCGACACCTGTCACTTCTGCAAGAAGCGCGTGTACGTGATGGAGCGGCTGAGTGCAGAGGGCCACTTCTTCCACCGAGAGTGTTTCCGCTGCAGCGTCTGCGCCACCACCCTGCGCCTGGCCGCCTACGCCTTCGACAGCGACGAAGGTGACTCCCAGCGGCGGGGACAGCGCCGGGGTCTCCGGTCCGGGCTTCTGTCCTCGGGGGGCTCTGGGGCGCCCCACCGCTTCCCAGGGACTGTGGCGTCCCGGGGAGAGCTGTTCTGGGAGCTGGGAGATCCTGCTGGAGAGAGAGGCCACCTGCGGCGGGCCCGGGGAGGCGGTGAGCGCCTGCTGTATACCGTGTGCCAAGTGCTTTACATACGTGTCCTCGCCAGCATCCCCACCTTCCATGGCCCCGTGTGGGCGAGGAAATCACACCTGGCGACCTAGTACCACGCGTGGTTCCACACCTGGCTTGTGACAAGGGTTTGATAAATGAGGGTGTATTAATGTTTTTATTTACAAAGGGTGTCTTAGAAAAGTGGTCATAATAGCAACCTCCCCTCTGAGAAGCAGCCTGCCGGAATGAACCGTTAACGAGCCCCGTAACCTTGGGCCTGTTACCTAACCTCTTGGTCCCTCCGTTACGTCATCTGTAAAATGAGAATAATGATAGTTCTTAGCTCGTAAGGTTGTTGTGAGGTTGTTCGTGTGAGTTAATTCACGGGAGGCATTCAGAGTAGTGTCTGCTCTATTGTGAGTCCTGGATAAGTTTTTCCACTTGTACCATTGTTCTTGAGGTTACTGTTGTAACAGTGAACGAAGAAGGCTTTTCCAGAAGGTGCCCAGTGGTCCTGGGCCATGGCCAGGGACCCAGGGCAGGCTTAACCTGGTTCTTTTCCTCCCCATCACTGCTACCATCTGTTCTGAGCCTTTCCCACCCCCAGGGGCCCCAGGAAGGACTGCGAACTGGAAACAGTGCTGTCCATTCTGCAGCCTGGCAGCTGGCCTCGGGAAGGGACTTGGCCTCCATTTGGCTTAGGGATTAACCGAGGGCTTCAGCCCCATCCCCGGCATCCCCCCCGCCCCCCATTGCTACCGTCTGCCTCTGAGGCAGCAAACGGTCCTGCTACCTCATCGGAGTGTGGCTTCTTTAAGACAGGTGACAGAAAGCAGGTTTGAGGCCTCCTGGGCTTACTCCCAATATTGGCATTCCCTGACCTAAACAGGGGCGGACATTGGCTTGTATCTGCTGCGACTCTAATTTACAGGAGAAAACCCATGCATGCAAGTGTGCACATGTTTCTCTTTACAGGCAAGTTTTTCTGCAAGCCTCATTTCATTCACTGTAAGACCAACAGTCAGCAAAGGAAGAGACGAGCAGAGTTGAAGCAACAAAGAGAGGTATGCTTTGTTCCTGAAAGTGCTGTTGAAACAGGGACAGCCCCTGGATAGGAGACCGTTCTCAAAGGTCCCTCCAAGTGAGGCCAGAATTTCCGGCCCTGGAGGGGCCGAGACCCACAGGTAAAGCCGAGAGTCCATACTGTGCGTGCGGCGTGGAGGGTCTCTCTGCCTTAGCCTGTCGTGCCAGCCTCTAGGTTTATCCCATTCTGGAGGCCGGCTGCCTGGAGAGTAGTGGTGCTCGCTTCTTCTGAGAAGGGCCTTCCTATAGTCCCAGCCATGTGGAAACCACGGGGTCCGCCACGCCTGGGTCCCACGTGACCACAGTGCTGTATGCAGGGATGCCTCCTGGGGAGCCTACCTTTCCCTCATTCTCCACCTCCCCAGTCTCTTGGATGTCAACAAAGTGACAGGCTGCTGAATGTATGGACGGTTGGTGATAGCGTCCCTTCCGGCAGCTCTTAGCACGCACCTTCTCTGCCCCTTGATTAACCAGCCCCTCCAGCAAGGTCCCACACCATACAGCTCTTTTCGGGTTATATGAGTCATAGAGGCTTAATGTAGAAAAATGGGTAAATGAAGTATGTAAAGAAGGGAAGTTAAATCATCACCACCCTATTCTGAGAAACCCATAACTAACATTTTGTGACATTGCCCTATGTGAATGTCTTTTAACCTAGTTGGAATCCAATCATTACACTTTCATATCCTTCTTTTTATTTACTGGCACTATACCAAGAACCGTTCCCCATAACATTAAAAATTCTTGTGGAGCATCATTTTTGATGCCCATAAAAGATGATTAATAATTTATTTAACAAGTCCCATGTTGCTGAATGTTTATGCTGTGTCCTGTTTTTACCTTACAACTATTTTCACAGCCAGCATCTTTGTATGCACATCTTGGTGCCTGTTTCAAATTATTTCCTGAGGACAGATCATTAGAAATAGGATTTCTGAGTCAAAGGACATACGTGCGTTGTTGTTGTTTTTTAAGGACGTGTGTTTTGAAGGCCTGTGAACCCTGTGGTCACGTTGGCCCCAGAAAAGCGATGCCCATATTCAGTCCCCCTTCAGCAGTGCACGGGGGCTATTATTTGGGGGGGGGGGCTGGTTGCAAAACGCAGGGTCTGCCGCGGTCCGTTTGCGTTGGCTCTCTTCGTCTGCTTCCTCGGAGGGGCGCTCCGTGAGAATCATGGACTAAGTGCCCTCCCTCTGCTCCCTCTCTCAGGAGGAGGGACCGTGGAAAGAGCCGGAGGCCCCTCGGCGGGACGCTCCCGTGGAAAGTTCTTGCGCGGCTGCTGCTGTTGGTGCCCCCGAAGGCAGCCCTCCAGGTATCACCAATTCCTTCTTTAGGAAGGCACTAAGCTGGCCCCTCGTGCTGCCGGGGGGCCTGCTTCACGTTCCCCGGAGCCTGCTTAACTGGATTCGGGGACTCCTGCGTGCAGCCGGCCTTCATTTCAGGGACAATGCTTATAACTACTGCTATACGTATGAGCTCCTGAGCCTCGGGCTGCCGCTCCTCTGGGTGTTCTCTGAGGTCCTGGCTTCCATGTACCGGGAGTCTGAGGAGTCCTTGGAGACCATCCGCAACTGGGTGCTCAGATGCTTCCCGGTGAAGCTCCACTGAAATGCCAACCACCCCACAGCGCCCTCACATTTCCAGTTTAGACGGAAGCGTGTTGGCAGTTAGCCAAGGCTCTGGCCGGGAAGCCTAGCGTTCTCTAGCCAATTCGCTCAAAGCCAAAGAGTTTCACACTGGCCACCCGCGCCTGACTCCGTCAGGGTGGACATCTGCTCCTGGTGCCGGGGCCAGACGACATGAAGGATGTTTTTTATAGCTTTGTACTTCTTTTATACCAAAGTGAGCCATAGTTCTAGGTTTACATTTCAATTTTTGAAACTTTTAATAAGCCAAGAGAAAGCATTTTTTTTCCCTACGAGTGTCATTTTTTGTAAACACGGTTTGAAGTTTGTAACTGGTGTCATGAATCCCTTCCACAGTGCGGTCCATGGTCATGGTCGCTGCCCGCGACACTAATGATTTGGGCTTTTTATAGAAACAGAAGCGAGTGTGCCACCTCCTGACCAGTGCCTTTTGCTGTATGTACCCTGATGCCACTTGTCCACAGGGGACAGCGTTTTGGCACCACGAAAGCCTCAGCAGTTTAGAAGAAAAGAGTAGATCAGAGTAGAATTAAACCACACAGAGACACACGGCAGTATGTAGTTGGCTGTGATCTGCCCTCCCACAGGGAGGGGGCCTGTTTTGCACCCTTGTTTAGATGTAAAATTAGTAGCTTAAAGGTTTTTCCCCTCATCACCAGCCAAATGACCGTGGGGTTTCCTGCAGATTGCTACAAACATACACTGTCCCTTCCCATGAACAAGCAGTGCCTGCGAGGCCCCGTGGCCCCTGGCCGAGCGGAGCTCTGGCGAACTGGTGCATTGCAGGAGAGGAGCTCTGCCCCCCTGCCCCGCCCCCCCCGCCCGGGGCCCCCGATCTGGTCCTCAGCCCAGGCTGCAGACTGAGCCAAGGCCACTCAGGGTCCATAACGGTCAGGCTGAGGGAAGAATCTGCCCTCTCGTATCACCTGCTATGGGACTGAGGCCGTTTGTTAGCACCTCAGGGTATAGGATTTCTGGGAAGCGTGACCTGCCTGAGGAGCCCTGCTTACAGACATCCTGGCTGCTTAGCCCCTCGGCTGCCATGCATATTTGGTCAGAGCAGCCAGAAACCATTTGTTTTCTCGCTGTCCTAGCAAAGGAATGTGTCTGACCTCCTGTGTCTTGACTGGCAGGGGAGGCAGGGAGTGGAAGCTGTTTGTTGACTGATACAAAAGAAATATGCCCTATTAAGGGCAAAAACAGGCCTTGGGCCTACCTGTGTTCTTCACTCTGGGCTTCCTGGGGAGGCCTCCGCTCCCCGCACCCTGCTCTGCCCGGACGAGTGCCGCTGCTGGGTCTGCTTGAACAAGGCAGAGGCCTTCCAACATGCTCAGGATATCGAGAGTCACCAGGCTGGAGATGGCTGTGTGCACTTGTGACACTAGAGATCTCCTCTAGATTAAGGAAGGATGGAACCCGGGGTGCGTTAGGAGCCAGGGTGCTCGAGAGCGTGGAGATGACAAGTTTCTATAGGGCAGGACGAAGGGGAGAGGCATTTCTACAAACCCTTCCTTGAAGTCCTTGGAGAAAGCAGGGGCCTGGCTGTGGCCCAGCCCGTGGGAACTGGCACCTCTGTCCTCGTTGGAACCGTTCTCAGTCTGTTGACTTGCGTTGGGTTTTTCCAAATTTTTGCTGCAATTTTAATATTCAGCATGGTGGGAGGAGCCCTGGATTCATGCTATGTTTGATTCTTAAAGGAAATCTTGAGGTCATGACGTGAACGCATGCACAGCCATGTCACTGCTCCTGTCTTCAGCTCAGGGTGGGCTGAGACGCTTTGTGGAGTGCTCCATGAAGCCAGAGTTAGACTCTCGGAGAATGTCATTTATGGCCATAAAGAGACTGGTTTGAATTATTCTGGGGAGACAGGGTGTGCCTGTCAGAAGCCTGAGATGTTTGTATGTTCTGAGGCTGTGAACCTTCCTGGTGGGTAGAACCGAAACACATGGTGGATCCCAGGAGGCAGACACCTCTTGGCCTCCACAGCATACTCAAGAATGAGTGTGGGACACGGGAGTAAAACAGGGGAAAAGAGATATCAGCGGGGGGGGGAGGGTGGCGCAGGGGGTCCTGAGGACGTGTGTCGCTCCAAGGGAAGAGCGTTGGCCTAGGCCAGCTACACGCATCCACTCTTGCAGATGAGTAGGCGGTCACTACCAGAAAGGTTCATCTGTCCCAAGCAAGCAATGATTTGTTCGGGGAAGTTTCCCTTTTATCAATGGTGGCCTCCTCTTCAATTCCCGTGCCTTTTGTGTTATCAGTCTTTTTTCCTGCCCGCCCCCGCCCTGGCCCCGAACTAAATTCTCCTTTCTCTCTCTTTCCAACCTTACACTGTGGCTACCAGTTCATTTCAGCCTTCCAGTGCTACACCCACTTCTTGGCTGACGCACTTCTGCTCGGAGGTGACTGGTTTTCTTGCCAATTTTCAGAGAGAGGTACTAACGCCTAACGTGCTCTCCGTGCCCCATCCTCCCCAGCGCGGTCCCGGTTGTGCTAACTGCGAGCATCTTGCGTACTAACGGACTCATTCCATGGCATGGGGGTTTAGCAACGTGGGATGGTGTTCCGCTCGAAAGCCATGTTTGACTCCACTTACCTCTGAGCCGGCCGCCAGGTCTACACCGGCTGCATGCCCCGCCTCCCCGCGGCTCCCCGTGCGGCCTGCATGCATACCTTTCCCCTCGCGAAACCACTTCCCTTCCTGGGACGCTTCCCCCAGCTGTGAGATGGCAGACTAGAGAGGGCTCTGTCACCTTGGAAAAGAACTTTGATCTGGTAGCCGCTGAAAAAGTACATGCAAACAAAGCGTTCTTAAATTGATTCTAGTATAAAGATTATCGATCAAAACCATGGGTGACTCTTTCGGGAAGGGTTGAAAAAGAAACCATGCTCCCAGCCTTCATCAGAGGCTTGACCCATGCTTTGTATTTTGAACACACAATCACAAGGTTCCTGGCAAATCCTTTCTCTACCACAGCCTTTACTTTAGACACAAGGGCTTTGCTGTGGCTCTTCTTACTGTTCTTGGCTCATAACGCCCCAGATGATGCAGAAGCTTCCACCGGAGCAATCATTGTCCCAGGCCGGCGGTGGCTGTGAGACATGACTCTGCTCAGCCCGGGCCTGGTGTCCATGCCCCCGTGGCTCTGCTCAGACGACATGTGCCCACTGACTCATTACTTGGAGCAGCAGGACGTTCAAAGTGCTTTTAGAGAGAGGGGCGTCGTGCCGAGTCCGGGGGAGCTGCTGGGCGCCGGGCCTCGGGGTCTCAGGCGGAAGGTGGCGTCTGTCCTGCATGTGGCCCAGAGCCACGCTGACCTCTCGGCCTGTCTGCACAGCCCTGCATGCTGCATTGCTCACGGCACTGGTGCAGAGTCTAGCCAGTACGAAGTCATCGCTCTTGTCTTGTCTTCTCTTGCAGCGTCTCCCTCCCTTTATAGAATGTCAACCAGAGAGGGCCCTCCTTCCTTCTCAGCCTTCTCTTGAGCTAGCCCCCCCCACCCCCGCCCATCTCCTCGCAACGCATGTCTGCGACCTCCAATAGTCCTTTACAGTGCCACACGGGACCCTGTATTTTGCACACAGCAAACGATGTTTAGCTTTATTTATGGTATTTGATGCTGTAAATGAAAATAAATATGGTTCTTTATAAAGCGCATTGTTTCCTCTCTTCTTTGCCATGGAAGCTGCTCCAACCTCAGACACGGGGGCTGGTTTAGGGGAACAGTCTTCCCTAAACTGCTGGTGGGGCCTGCACTCGTGGTGACATGGGACGCTCTGGGGCTGTGCTGGCTACCTCTGAAAGGAAATATTACCCAGGGGTAATATTTGGAAAAGGTCACCGATGCTCCTGGGCCAGGCTTTGGGGTCTCTTTCTTGAAAACTCATGGTACTTTTTCTGTGTAGATTCTGGGCAAAGTTGGGTGAGGGTCAGTGTCACCTGAGCTGTGAGAAACAGACTGTCCTAACAGCTCCTGTTCTCATTCCCCCCCCCCGACCCCCACCCAAACCGTGGACCTGTCAGAGAGCTTTCCTTAGGAACCGTTCACTAACTTAGGTTCCTCCATAACAAAGGTTGCTCTCACAGGCCTTATGCTGGTCCAGCTGAGTGGGAGGTGAAAGGTAAGAGGACCAGACGTTGGTTTCAGAATGGCAGCGAACACGGAAGGTGTGCTTATCCAGATGGAGAGCCATTTGTGATCCTAAGAGGCCTCCCCTGCCCCCAAAGGCTCAAGTCAACTCAGTGTCTTAGGCTGCAAGGCTCTGCCTGCAGAGCCATTCGGAGGACAGAACCATGGCAGGCTCTGACCCAATTCCAGGCTGGCTTCCCCTTACAGGAAGGATGCAGAGTCTCACTTGGCGAGTCTGGACAGCGCCAAGGAAGTCTGGTCCTCAACTTCCCTGTGTTGGGATGCCTGACATCTCCAGGCTGGATGTAGCTGGGCTTCTGATGCTGGGATGAGCCTCCCCTGAGGGGTATTTCTGAGGCCCTGGGCCTCTGCACTTACCTGCTGGCTGCTGGAACTGCCTCCCGAGCTGCCTAGGGTCATGTACTCTTACCCAGGTGAGATAGTCTTTCTCTTCCATAAAAGGAAGGGTGTTAGGGACTGAAGTCAGGAGCTCAGTTGGGCAAGTGATTCATTCCTTTATTTATTCATCTGTTCAAGTATTTGTTGAACACGCACCATACCCTAAACATATTCCAGCTCCTAGGGATGCAGCAGTGAACCACACAAAGTCCCTGCCCCTCCCTGCGTCTTAGAACATATCTCGGTGTTGTGCACTGGGTTCGATTTGTTTTATTTGTACATACACTCATTTATTTACTTAACTACTATTTACTGAGCGTCTATGGTTTGCTGGGAATATAGCAGGGGTGAAATAGACAAAAGTCCTCATTACCATATTGGAGCTTATAGTTTTGTTTTGATGTTCTGATTTGAAGTTGTGTTAAAGCAACATTTTCCAAAGCGTGGCAAGGGAAAACGAGCTCCAAGAGGGGCTTTGTGAATGAGGAGCTCCGCAAATGAGGAGCTCCATAGGCGCAAAGTTTGAGAAATGCTTTATAGGAATAATGCTGGTCCTCCCAAACCTTGGAGATCCGCAAGACTTACTGGCATGGTAAAAGTCTCTGAGGGACCCTCCAGTAAAAAAGCTTAATTAACTTTGCTGAGGTGGGCTTTCCCATATCTATTTGAAATGAGTTTTTTGTTTGTTTGGGGTGGGGTTTTTGTTTTGTTTTGTTTTGCATGTCACATTCTACATAAGTGTCTGGTAGAATATTTTTTTTTTTTAAAGATTTTATTTATTTATTTAAGAGAGAGAATGAGAGAGAGAGAGAGCACATGAGAGGGGGGAGGGTCAGAGGGAGAAGCAG